ATCTAGTATTTAAAAATCTGATAGATTAGATGGCAAATGGTTAAGATTCAAATAGGGGATTTTAATTTCTAACTTGCCGATATGGATCAATCCTTCCGTGATATAGGAGTGTATATTGTTAGAATCTAATAATATATTATTTAAAAAGTTATAGACTAGACCTCATTGTACCAGATTTTTGTATCGTTTTAAACTATTTTAAGTGACTTATATGATTGATATTATAGAAGAGGTAAATTGAGCTCATTTATCATCTGATTTTTTATCATTTTTCTCTATTTCTTGGTAGACTCTTAACGACAATGTCGTATGAAAGAAGTAAAGTCTATTTGCAGCATTGATAGGCATCAAACAATGATTTGAAAGATAGTTCATCATTAGATACAGTCTATCTAAAGACTATCAATAACGCACTTTGAATGCTTATATGCAATGAAATGAAATACGTAGGAATCAAACTACAAAACTTCTAACAAACTTTGATTCCACTTTCTTTGCGCTCTGGTCGACTTAACGTAACTTTGACACCAAATAAAAAAAATCGGGGAAACAACCAATCAACAATTTATTAAGAAAGCGTGAGAGAGACAGATCAAACAACCTTCCAAATACTTAATGCTACGTATTATAATCGCTTATAAGTGAAGGAAAAAAACAACTACTGAACTGAAACTGTCAACAACCTATCAACCTAACAAAAAGAAGAACGTTTTAACTTACAATAGTTCAACTCCGAAGGCCTTTCAAATTCAACAAGATATTCAAAAGAATCTTTCACTCTCTACTTTCAATTTTCTGATTGGAATCTCAATCCAAGAAATCCGAATTTTATAAAGATTATATAATCGCCTGATTGCATTATCATTTATAGGCTTCGCAGAGCCCTCAATAATCATAGTATTTAAAACTAAACATTTATTAACCAATCACTCTTACGATCCATTTTAGAGAGCTACTTTGCGTCACTTAAGAAAACAAAAACTATCCAAAGTTCAGATATAATTTACCTTATGATTCCCTTACAAAACACTATAAAACCAACAAACTAACCATAAAATGCAGTACATCAAGCTCCACTTCTAACATAATTCTTAATCATTAATACATTATGAAAGTCTAATAAATTAATCTGTAGTCGTTTAAAGATCAAAATTTAGTCATAAAAATAACAAGTCTAACTAATTAACCATCTTAGTTTCTATTTCCTCAATTAAACTTTCCTAATGTAACTTTCATGTCAGTCATAAAATTCCCCATAAAATTCCTAAGTTTCAAATTCACAACAAAAAGTTCCAATTTCAAAAAATCAACTCTTACAACATTTTCCAAAAATTATATCGGATACAGATCCAACCAGTTCCAGAATCTAAATCCCAAAACCGAATTTTATAAAGATCACATAATCGTCAATCAAAAAATTTTATATGACAACTATGACTACTTTTCTGACATTAGTATTGAGGGTTAATGTTCTAGCATAAAGTTGTACGGTAACTGTACGATTATAACCTACATTGTAGTACTTGACTGTCCTGTTATAAATCCCTTTTCTCTATGGATAGGGCTTTGTTGCTAAGTCAAATTCATTTAAAATCCCAAAAGACTATCAAGCGCCCTTTCTTTAGATTAGGCGATTGCTCTTAGGTTGTTTGTATAGTAATCTATACAATACCTTGTAAAGTAGTCAAGAAGAAAAGATGGCAACATGATGATTTGGCAGGGTAAAACTTAAAGATACTATCACTTTCTAGTTATTTTCTATAGTAAAGAAATAATAGTTACATACTAAAAAGCTATAAAGGACTCTGCTTTTTGTCCTTTACCATATATATTCTCATTTATTCTTTAATATATCCAGATTGTCAAGCGAACTTTCAATGTTGCCCTTGAGATATTTCAATCTGCTTGGTATCATATTTAATTAATAGTATATCCATTCAATTTAAGAATGAATTAATAGATTAAATACAAACACTTTGCTATAGTTAGTTACTTCTCATTATGATGCAAGTTATGATAATTCAATTTGAGTACCAATTAATATTTTAATGTCCTATAATAGCTAATCAATTCAATATCATGATTGTCTTTCAAAATAGCTATGTTCTATTCATTAAAAGCTAGAAATTGGATCGTTTAACTACGGTTAATCTATTTAGGTCATATTATTGATTGAATGCCCTATACTTGTTAAACAGTATATAATATCAATTCGATTTGAGTACCAATTAGCATTTTAGTATCCTATAATAGCTAATCAATTCAATATCATGTTTCTCTTTCAGAATAGCCCTATTTTATTCAATAAAAGCTAGAAATTTTATCGTTTTAGATATAGAAATTGAATCTTTTAACTACGATTAATCTATTGGATCATATTATTGATTAGATTGCCCTATACTTGATGAACTCATATTTAAAAAATAATGGCTACTATGGTCGATGCTCTAAAATCATGATCAGTTTCATCGATAAAATCACATAGAAATTTATTTTTTCAATAAACTGATATAAAAATATACCATCTCTTTCCAGTACAATTTTTTATAGGCTATTATTATAGCTTTCACTGATGAATGACTCCACAATACTGCTAGCGGTCGCTAAAGATGATTCTAGTAGAACTGTTCCAATAGTCTTTTACCTTGCTTTAGGTACTGCAGCAATCTTTTATAATGTAATGTAGAGTACACATATCTAAACTTGGCTACGAGATTAGTAAGGGGGTAGCAACCAATTACTGGATTGATTATCAATACGTTGGACGGAAAACTACCCTACTGCAATCGAGTAGAATAAGGGAGTATAGGTACTCTAATATGGCATCGTTAAGCATAGATTCTATACTAATTTCCAAATTGTCTCTAAATCGATATTTATGGGTGAAAATGAAACGAATATCTGGTCTAGATTGTGCCGCCTTTAATCGCCAAGTAAGAAACAACACTAACCTGTTTTAAAGTACTTAGCAGGTTTATACAAGATAGTAGGCAAGAACTTGCTTGAGTGTTAGTATCACATAAATTGCCAATTTGAAGGACATTCTATAATTGCCTATATAATGAAATGCTCATCATAATCATTAGAAAAGAAAATATGTCGAATTACTATGGCTAATGTTCATTTTTTGAAATGAAAGGAATCACTGGCCCAATTTACTGTATGTATATCAGATTAACCGAATTGAATAGTAGATTCCTGTATGGGAGTAAGCAAAAACTTGCTTAGAGCGTTGGTATAACACCAAGTGCCAGTTTGAAGGACGCTTTATAATTGCATATGCAATAAGATGCTTATCATATTCATTGGTCTAATTACTATGGCTAACGTTCATTTTTTGTAGCTAAAGGATTATCATGGGCCCAGCTTACAGTATATCATGTTAACCGAATTGAATGGCATATTCCTATTCGTCAGCATAAAAGAATCTTATCAAATGGTTGATACAGTGGAAATTGAGTGTACTTGATAGATATTTCATAATTAGATACCCTGATATCCATTCCGAAGTGATATTCTTCAGAAAGGGAATAACGCCTGCTAAATATAATTAACTTTGATTTGAAATAGCGTTAGTGGTCCAGCCTATATCCTATTACTCGAATTTTTCGGATAAATTCTTATGGCGTAGTGTGATAGAACCGTAAATATTGATTTGAAAAATATTTCGTAATTAGTTGCAATGAGATATTACATATACGCTTACAACACAGCACGCCATTATCATTTTCGAAGGAATGATGGTATTCATTTCTAGATACATTATGGGCAAATTACAGTCCTAGTCACTTTAAGTAATGCCTTTTCTAAATGATTATACCTTTTATCTTTTAATTATGCTCCAATATATCAGAATGATAAACAGAAGTTGTGACATACCATAGAATTTAATTTAAGGTATACCATCTGTTTCATGTAATATTAAATGGTATTATTAATCGATAAGAATTGAAAATGAAATAAGTTATTGTACATGCCCAACGATAACTGCTTCTTGCAACAATCAATCAATTCTATGAAATTTAAATTGAATTATAGGTTAGTATTTTAACAATACACGATATACAATCAATATCATGTTTATAAATATCATTTACAATATTCGTTTATACTCCTTACAGATCAGAAATAAAGTGATCGGTATATACCAATTCAGTTATTTAACCATTAATTCATTAGAGGTAGCTATCAGATAATAATTTACACATTTCCGAACTACTATTGAATAAATGATTATTACGATGGTGGAAAGTTATCAAACTAATGCGGATTACAGAATGCGAAAACGTTTTTACTTTAAAGGGATTATTTTATCAATCTACAGAATAGATGATTATTGCTATAATACAAGAGAGTTTGATGATATTACAACGGTACAACAAATTATATTGTGGATAAAATTATGTAAGAAATTAATACTTTCAATTTAGGCAGAAATATAAATCCAGGTAAAACTTTCTATAGCTGTAGTATCTGCAACTAAATAGTAATAACGATAAGTATGGAAAGGTTCTTTTCAGATACTATTGCAATACTGATGGAGAATAACTGTACTGTATATAATAGTTGATCTATTTTTTATCCTTATGGGGTGCTTGAAGTTATAATGGAAACTCTCTCCTCGTGGATAGACGATAAAGAGTAGCCAAAGGGCCATAAAGCAACTTTTCCTAATTTAAAATGTTGAAATGACAATGGTATGCATAGAATAGTTGCAAAAAATATTACACCTAGGAGGAAATGCTCGACAGCGAATAAAATCCCAAAGGGTAGCCAAATTAAGTTGCCGCAAAATAATAGACAATTCTAGGAGGACAATCAATGCAAGGGAGATATTTTTAAAATCAAGAATGGTATATTAAATCTTCTGGCGTGCATCTTAGCATTAAAAATACAGAAGAGATAAACTTTAAGCCGCTTACTACTAATATCAGTCAATCCATTTTTATAGCTACGTTATTGAGTTTGAAATGCTATCGTTACGATATGGTGCATCTATTTTAGCGTAGCATCCAACGATAGGGTTGACTATTTTCGATGAGTGCTGCAACTAATTTATCCTATAGGTGTAATATATATATATATATATATATATATCGCAGCTATAATCCAAGATTTTTTAGCAAGGATTATTATACAAATGCAGTAGCAGTAACATCATAAAGACTAACCCCGTCATCTTCCATGGTAAATGGATTTCTGTGAACGATATCCTTGCCAAATGGTAATAGCGTCAACATAGACATCTACATATGAAAGAATTGAATGCTATCAATTATTCTCGTTGAAAACGGCTACTAAAGTACTTGTATTGTACTAGCGATTCTACCTTATATTGGAATGCGCGTACAAGTGCTTACGAAAAGTAAATCTCCTTTTATTAATCTGAATGATATAAAGTAGTAGGGAGCGAAATATTCTAATGGAACTATACCTTTATATCGATTAAATACCACTAACTGGTTAATCTAGTATGATAACTTTATGAACCTTGAAAATATGTAGAGAATTTTACCTTATGTATAAAACTGTAGGCAAACATACCTTAAAACAAACAAGTCCACATGGAATACCGATAATTGTAATGGAGAATAAAAGGCCAAAAAGCAACCATTGAAAAGAGATGAGAAAGCCACCAAAAATTAGCCAAAGAATATTACCACACCACTTATTAATAATAGAAAATTGTTCAATGCTCATTAGTACTCGTAATAGAATCTGCCAAGTCTATTAACGTATACTGTAATCTATCGACTAATTAACAAATCATTGGAAGTCAATTAAACATTTCGCTTGTTCTGAGTAATTTTACTTCTTCGATCTTGTTGCGCGTTAATTAATAAGGGTCAATTAACGTAACCAATCTAAAGTGCAGTATACTGCTGTATTAGAGAAATTGAGGAACTCCCATCTTTCATCTACTACTGATAATAACGTTAATTAATCGCTAATATAAACTAAGATGAAAGAAAATAAAATGCTCATGGACGTGATTTGCAATAGCCAGTTTAGTAGTGTGATATTAAGTGGCAATAGCATTTAGAATGAATTATCATCCAATTTCAATTCTCTATCCATCTCTTTGAAAGTTAGTAAAGTGCTGCGTGCGAATGAGAGTTTGAATGATACTACAGTATTAATTGATGTTCTACTCAGTCCACAGTCCTATCTTACCAACTGACAAATAAAGATTATTCATCCATTAATTATATAAATATTGAAGGATGAAAAATCGATCAATAACTGTTGTAAAGCTAAGGTGATGCATTTTTCTCCAGTTTATTAACGTGGTGCTTATCGATTCATTAACAAATCAGTAGAAGTCAATTAAATATCCTATTTTTCTTGAGTGATTTCACTTCTTGTAATTTATAGTATCTCTTATAAAAGTACAGCATAGGGATTGATCTCTTTCACTTAGTATTGATTCCATGGTTGATAGCACTGTCGTTAATCAATGCCCTATTTAAGCGACTAGTTTTATATAACGAAAAAGAAGATATGCGATTTACGCGTGCAATAGCTACTTTAGCAGAGTAATATGAAGTAGTGTTAGTATGGACGATGTTATCTAATGTAAATCGTCTAACAAGCAGAGATCGTAGTATTATTATTTTACAGTGACTATAGGCTATGGATTCAGTTCAAGATGATTAAGTTAGTAACGATGACAGATTAAGAATCATTTCTAGCTTACATCGACGGCATCGCGAGAATCGTAATCGTAGGTAATATCAGTTCGAGTAACATAAGCGCCATTTTCTTGCCTCTGATACATGATGGAAGAGAAAATAGATTGCTGGATACAGTCTATCTAGGTTACGCAGCTAAGATTATGCCTGGCTAGGCCTAGATCGGGAAAAATTGTCAATTTGAATGTTAGCGATGAAATGGTCACCAGACGTAAATAATAATACTAATAAATTACGTCTCATTGTAATTAGGTGAAATATAACTAATCCAGTTGTACGGACTTGGATGCAATCACTCATTGCAACCTAATCCTCACCGAAGTATCAATTTTCTAAATAACCAAACTATGCAATGCAATTCTACTCTTCTTCTTCCTTATTAATGTACACATTATTATCGAGTAGAATGGATAGAATCGTATAAAATTGTACTTTTTTCACCACGTCGTCATGGCGATCGGTTGTATGCAATCAACCACTACAGTAGAGTATTTGTTGGCCATGTAGGCCACATTTCCCTCATCGGGTTGAAATAAAGCAATTCTACTCTTCTTCTTCCTTATTAAAGTACACATTATTATCCAGTAGAATGGATAGAATCGTATAAAATTGTACTGTACTTTTTTCACCATGTCGTCATGGCGATCGGTTGTATGGCATCAACCACTACAGTAGAGTATTTGTTGGCCATGTAGGCCACATTTCCCTCATCGGGTTGAAATATAGCAATTCTACTCTTCTTCTTCCTTATTAAAGTACACATTATTATCCAGTAGAATGGATAGAATCGTATAAAATTGTGCTTTTTCACCATGTCGTCATGGCGATCGGTTGTATGGCATCAACCACTACAGTAGAGTATTTGGCGGCCATGTAGGCCACATTTCCCTCATCGGGTTGAAATAAAGCATTGACTAGGTTACCGACATTGCATTCCATATCTCTAAGATGGCTATGACAAGATATTGCTGAAATTTTACCTGTTTACTGCCTCCAAACAACATTGTGCAAGTCTCTCCAGATCCTTTTAGGCGGGTAATGATGATTTTAGATGTCCTGTCAAGATGACATTGGTGATGATTTTTACCCCTAGTCACTATCATGGCGTTGCAGTGTTTACCTTAATATTGTAGCTCATGTTTGGGTATCTTCCCTATCGGGGTGGAGAGGACTTTGAAGAGGTTCTTCTAGGTTTTAAAAATACAAACGTAGTGTATACCCAAGTATTTTAGCTCATGTTTGGGTAGCTATACTATTAGAGTACGGATGATGTCATCGCTTTAACCATCCAAATAGAATTGCAGTGTTTCCCTTAGTCTTTAAGCTCATGTTTGGGTAGTTGCATACTCTGAGTATGGATTTTCTTTATTTTTGCATAGTGTTGAAAGTATTACTACCGAAACATGACTTCAGATAGTAGTATAATCACTATATGGCTGGAAAGTAAATTGAAACGTCCATCCGCATGCAAGTATGTTCCACATAAATAATGGCGTTGAAAATGTCTGTGGGCCTTGGCGTTATGGTACATCAACAGAAGAATTCTTCTTGTACATCAATGGAAGAGTTCTTGTATAGCAGTTTATAGCAGTAGATTGGTATTTTAGATATCTAATAGACAATATTATTTTTTGCACAGCACTATACATATAATATGGGGAATCGTATATTGATGTTAAAATTTGTATAGTAGTTTATGGCAGTAGATTGGTATTTTATGCATATAACATACAATATTATTTTTGCACAGCACTGTGCTGTACATAGAATAGCAGGGGAATCGAATATTAATGTTAAAGTTTGTATAGTAGTTTATGGTAGTAGATTGATATTTTATAGGTGTAATGTACAATATTAATTTGCGCAATACTGATCTAGGGGAGTCGTATATTGATGTTAAAATTTATATAGCAGTTTATGGCGCTAGATTGATATTTTATATATCTAATATACTGTACGATATTATTTTTGCACAGTACTATACACATAATATAGGGGAATCGTATATTGACGTAAAAACTGGTATAGCAGTTTATGGCAGTAGATTGGTATTATATACATATAATATACAATTTTATTTTTACACAGCACTATGTACATATAATATAGGGGAATCTTATATTGATATTAAAATTTGTATAGTAGTTTATTGTAGTAGATTGATATTTTATACGTGTAATATACAATATTAATTTGCACAATACTGATCGAGGGGAGTCGTATCTTGATGTTAAAATTTGTACAGCAGTTTATGGCAGTAGATCGATATTTTAGACATGTAGTATGCAATTTTATTTTTGCACAGCACTATACATACAATATAGGGGAATCGTCTATTGATGTTAAAATTTGTATAGCAGTTTATGGCAGTAGATTGGTATTTTATATATGTAATATACAATTTTATTTTTGCACAGCACTATACCGTACATATAATATAGGGGAATCGTCTATTGATGTTAAAATTTGTATAGCAGTTTATGGTAGTAGATTGGTATATTATATATGTAACATACAATATACACTGATCTAGAGGAATCGTATATTGATGCTGATCCCGTATTTCATACGTATGATACGTACATGGGAATCGTCTATTGATGTTAAAATTTGTATAGCAGTTCATGGCAGTAGATCGATATTTTAGACATGTAGTATGCAATTTTATTTTTGCACAGCACTATACATACAATATAGGGGAATCGTCTATTGATGTTAAAATTTTTATAGCAGTGTATGGTAGTAGATTGGTATTTTATATATGTAGCATACAATATACACTGATCTAGAGGAATCGTATATTGATGCTGATCCCGTATTTCACACGTATGATACGTCTATGAGAATCGTCTATTGATGTTAAAATTTATATAGCAGTTTATGGCAGTAGATCGATATTTTGTACATGTAATATACAACTTTATTTTTACACAGCACTATACTGTACATATAATATAGGGGAATCGTCTATTGATGTTAAAATTTGTAGGGGAGTCGTCTACATTAAAATTGGTATAGCAGTTTATGGCAGTAGATCGATATTTTGTACATGTAATATACAACTTTATTTTTACACAGCACTATACTGTACATATAATATAGGGGAATCGTCTATTGATGTTAAAATTTGTAGGGGAGTCGTCTACATTAAAATTGGTATAGCAGTTTATGGCAGTAGATCGATATTTTGTACATGTAATATACAACTTTATTTTTACACAGCACTATACTGTACATATAATATAGGGGAATCGTCTATTGATGTTAAAATTTGTAGGGGAGTCGTCTACATTAAAATTGGTATAGCAGTTTATGGCAGTAGATCGATATTTTGTACATGTAATATACAACTTTATTTTTACACAGCACTATACTGTACATATAATATAGGGGAATCGTCTATTGATGCTAAAATTTGTAGGGGAGTCGTCTACATTAAAATTGGTATAGCAGTTTATGCCAGTCGATGCGTGGGTATGTAATCGATATTATTAATTGGGACAGCACTGATCTAGGGGAGTCGTCTATTGATCTCGTATTTCATCTATAGAATATAGGGAAGTCGTCTATTAATATTAAAATTTGTATAGCAGTTGATGGTACAAGCAGGGACTACTAGAAGAGAGAAAAATGGAGTCCTTGTCCCTCTAGTCGTTAGCACTTTCATGATGACTGTCGGAAGCCATGATGAAAGTCATGTCTAGATGGGTTGGTGTTGATACAGTAGGTTGACAGTCTAGAATCTGACTAGGTTCTGGTAAGTCATCGTTGTTGTCTAATGGTCATAATAGGTTGGTGTCCATACAGTAGTCTAAATACATAGTACCTGACTAGACTACTCAAAAGTGATCGTCCAGTATAGAAAATTGCGTCAGAATACAACACTCCTCATCCATGACTGACTAGGTTGGTGTTCATACACTAGTCTTATGGCATAGAATCTGACTGGACTACTTGCAAATGCTGGTATGGTCTTGATAGGAAAAGGCACTTTTCCCCCCCCTTTCCTATAGTGTTGGATTGGATGACGCCCAATAACAATGATTTACTATCATCAAGTCTGACCTGATTGCGTAGTAGGATAGCTAGTATCGCCCATTCCTCTATAGCTATAGCCACGGTAGGACGGCCTACGTTGCCAACAAATGTTGGATGACCAGGCGATTCTACCAGGAGGAAGAAGAAATAGGAGAAAATTTCAATCATGTTCGTCTATCTTTTAATAATCGTAGAGGATGATTACAGTATCGATTGACTAGTTTATGTATTGAGAGATTTTGTAGATGTTGTATTATATCGATTTGATCGTTGGATTAGGAGTAGAAAAAAAAAAAGAAGCAATTGTTTGAGTATCATGTAGGATGCGATTGAATTCAAAATCATCATGTCTTGTAATCTTTACAGGTCTAAAGTATCCTTCAAGATTACGCTGACTTCTGATCCTAAACTACCCTTTAAAGTGTAAGTATAGTATCCACTTGATACTAGGATAGCTAATGGAACTGTTAAAAAGTATGTTTGAGTCATCAACGTACTTTTAGCAGCAATCAATAAAGTAATTCAGAAAGTTATTCTCCCCATTACTGCTCTGTTAATCGACGCGTATTGTGTCCTTGCCATTATGTCATGGATTAATATAAATGTCGCCAATAAATCAACGTACTTTAGCACAGAAAGCAACCTAGTTCCCTTCATCGCCTATTCTCTTCATATCGTGTTGTTATGATAACGTTGTAGATTAGTAAATAGGGCTAAAATGAATCAACGCACTTGAGCAGAGAAAATGACCTTATTCTCTCCCATTTCGTTATTGATCGGTAAATACTGTATGCCCATGGATCATCGCAGATCAATTGAGCAGGATTAGTAACCTAATTCTCTTCATCGCTTTTGACCTTGATACATATACAATTATACATGTACTATATTGACCATTTCTCGTTACATGTCTATGAGATGTTACTTTTATTCTAATACCATTTTTCAAACCCCTACTATTAAATCATGCCACTATATCGAAGGATAAAAGTGATTAACCTAATATACGATAGTGAATTAAACATGCTTCAACAGAACTGCACTATAATTTATTGAATGAACACGATACAGTATATGTACTGTACTGTATTCCACTACACGTTCTTAAGCATCTTCATTTTCTGATTCTATTTCCATTGCAATACTGTATAATATCCTTAGCATTACATGCTATATAGTGATATATTCTTACGTACAAGTAAGTAGTTGCTGTAACGTTTCAGGATATCATGGCTAAGCGCTAGAGACTCTCTTTGATAAACAGTGCCATACTTTATTTGATGGATGCGATGCGATCCGATCCCACGTGTTGGTTCTCCCTCATATTTACAATGAAAGGATAATTTAAAGTTATCGAAATGTCCTAAAAATATCCTGAAAAATTTTGACTAAGAAATTCAATTATACTTATAGTTGATAGATAACGATAAAATAGTAAATATACATAGCTTGATCAATAATGCTGCTTACGATACTGCAGTGGAATACTTGCTCGATATAGCGTATATTTATTCGATATTGTGTTGAAGTATACATCTCTACAATAGAACTAGAGTTATTCTTAAATAATTATAATCTGAAAGATAAAAATTGACAAATTGGCGACTTACAATTGGATATTTGAGAAATTTTATACAGTAGTTATTTGACGCACGTACCAAGTATATGTTATCAAGATATCATAAGACAAAATCAAAAATTTTAAAATATCATTCTTATACAGTGATCGAATAAAACGCTATCATCAGTAGGGTTCCTATTGGTGATAGGATTCGATAAAGAATGTATCGAAATTTTCAACATATCCAAACATAATAGACTACTCACTTGATGAAAGCCCAATAGCATGATAGCCATCTGAGTTTGGTATGAATAATAACGACTTGCATTTCAGTCTTTCATGTGTGCCTATTATTCTTATCACATAAGACATTTTAAATTTTTTTACGCTATATACCTAGAATAAAACGCGTTACGGCACTGTAATAGACTGTGCTGGATAGTGATAAGTGTTGTCAAGCTCAAATTGATCATGCTAGTGTCTACTCTCAAGTTTGCTACTGTATTTTGGCAATGACACTATTCCTTGAAGCTAAAAGTCATGGATTGTGCCCAAGCACCTTCATTTTCCTACTCTACTCGTAGTTATATGATCTCGCTAAGTTACAAACTGTATATTCTACGTGGAACTAAATTGTCAGCATAGCCAACATAATTATAAATTCGTAATTAATACGATGTAGTCATAGCGAAATAATAGGGGACCATCACCGGGTAGATACTGTATAAAATAATACTTAATTGACTAATTATAATATAATCACTTAGAGATGGTATTTTAATACTGTGTGCCAAACTTACTAAAGTATAATCGTACTATGCAATTTCTACTGTTACAGTCTCAGTGTACCAGAATCGACTCCTTTTACAGCTGTTTTGAAATTTGCGGCCGAAGAGGTATGTTAAATTTATAACATTATTACAGAAGAGGCATTCCTTTTATTTTAAGATATTGATATAATTTCGGTTAAGAATTTAAATTGGTTACAGCTGGTCTACTTTAAATTAGAATTAGTATAGTACTATACAATTTCAGAATCAGCTTTTGATTCAGTACATTACTTATGATTGTCACATTATCCATTTAACATATACAGGAACAGCGTAGTTGAAATTTATAGAATTGAAAATTACAATTTAATCATCTAGTATTTCTTAATATTTCTTCTATGCTTCGGACTGTTCCAGTCGGTGGTGTATTCAATCGCTATTCAAAATTCTGCAATAGTTATACTAATTTACCATAAATAAATAACGATGACTTATACGAATTAGCTATCAGCAATTGCAGTTGCGATATATTGCTAAATGATTAAGAATAACAAAGAATATGAAACTATTAAATTTTTCTCTTGTAGTTCAAGGTCCCGCCTGCAACGAGTGCCATCATAACTAATGGTTAGGAATGTGTAGTATTAAGATCTGATATGGTGACCGATTTTAAAATTCGTTTACGTTGCTGTAATTTCTTCATTTAGTGAAATGTAGTAATTACTTGATCACGGTTGTCTTTTCCCAAATACATGTCATTAGAACGGTAGATTATGCTCTATACGAGTATTACTAAAGTAAACATTTTTAACATCTTTCAGATGGTATTGGTATCAATCCCTCACAAAGCGCAGGTATAGTATCGTTGACCTTATCCTACTTTTTATGTCCGTTTAGAATATTTAAAAAGTAATATTGATTACATGCCAATACTGTCGTAATAACCATAAAAGTTTTGAAATTTTGAATTTTGAGTAGTGTTCAGCAGTAGCTACTAATTTACTATCTTTTCATACGTAAAAAAGAAAGCATAGTAATGCTACAAGTTAAAATCTAACCAGCTGTCCCTGTATGTGGTATACGTACATATGTACATTATAGGCAATGTCTTCCTAAAACATGGATCAGAACTTCGACTAATTCCACGAGATCGTGTTGGTCTAAACTTGATGTACTCCGCATAGACTCAATAATAAAGTGATTATAAAATTAAGTATTCGACTGATGGATCGCACGATTATCTTATTTAAATGATTTAAAAGTCGCCTAATAGGCCATTACTATTAACAACTGATAACTTAAAAGAACAAGGTATTAAACGTCAAGCTACACTTTACTATTACAATACAGTACGTCGTCTAAATTGAAAAGAAAGAACATTCATTCTACCGTACGTTTGTGATATTATAGCATGCAAATAGGATGCCATGAGTGACAACTTACTGCTACCATAATATTCTAATATTTAGTGCAAACCAAATATTGAAATATTAGTTAATTATATTACTGGAATGAATTTGTAGATGTTTCGGCTGTGTCGTAGGCATAAATAGCATATTAATGCGCCAACAACTACTTTCATGCCGTAGACTGCAATTATACAAGAATTAAGGCAAAATTCTTCGGTAGAAGATTAAAAATGACTCTATTAGAAAAGTTGGGCAGAAAATGAATACGCGTGTATCGGACTAAGTTTAATGATATACATGCAAAGAAGTACTTAACTAATACAGTAGGATCATTACTTGATACGATCACCACGAAGATCTATTGATGTATTATGTATAATTTATCATCAAAGATCTAATAATAAAATTACCAACACTCGGACGTTATAGCTCGATCAATGACATACTTAATGACTGAAACAGTTAAATTAGAACGCTAAACTAAACATCACGAATGCAGCACTAAAGAGTTGACTAACTTAATGAATAACATTAATAAGATGTACATATGATTACAAGACTATTCCATGCATATCAAAAATGATCAGAACACAATAGATTAATAATGTTCCACTTTACATTTGCCAATTACGTGCCATCTACAAATCGCATATCTACATTTATTATACCAACATGCATAATAGATATTATCTGTTTTCGCATTACTTTTTCTTCTTTCGTTTTCGTGATTCAGCATTACTATCGGCCTTGCGTTTGGATTGAGCAGCCTAAAGAATTATACGGCATATGAATTTTTTTCATTACACATACATAGCTACAATCACTTTTCAAATTATAATTAACTACATGTATGGTATTATATGATGGTACTAATTACCTTCGTAGTTGAACTGGCTCTGCCACGCTTTTTACGCTTCTCTTGTTGTTCTTTTTCCTCCAATTCTGAATTTTCCCTTTCAATTAAAGTTATAAGGGTATTGCAACGTCGTTGAAGTTCCTGCAGTAAGATTTACAAATCGTCAAATCAGATCACCAATATAGCAAAAATTATGTAAAGAATATTACAATATTGCTGCCTCAGATGATGACTGCTACACACTATCGAAATTTCGATTAAAATAATCTGCGAGTATATACGCGTAAGCAATTTTTTATTTCAAGGTTTAAAAACAATGTTGATTGTACCGTTGCAGTTCTCGATTTTAAAAACCAATCAAATCGGAACTGTGGAGCACTCCTTGCAGCTGATCTTAATTCCTCATAAACGTTTTCTTTGTCAATTCCGAGACGATGCAGCATGCAAACCTAATATAATAATCATAAAATTAGTTTATATCATCCAAATACTAGTTAGTTTACATCAGTAAACTATTTTACATATTCAACAAAATTGTATACAATACGAACCAAATATCTATCTTCCTCTTCAGTATAATTTTTTCCTTTGTTGGTTCCATACGCAATTCTCAACTGATGAAATGGTGTTCGATATCTTGTAATCTTAGAATACACGGAATATCAATTTTTAGAGCAGATAAATTATTTATTATGCAAAATAATTTACCATTGACTTACTTTCCAATCTAATGCCTTCCTGATACTAATTCGTCGTTGTATTTTACCCTCACCACGTTCAATTTGAGCCAAAATCTTATCAATATCTTGTAGCTCATTACATCTTTCCCAAAATATCTTTGCATATTCTACTACCTGCGGTTATTAAAATATCTCGGTATTACGCCAATATCACCCGCATTGAAATGTATATGACTAATAGTAATTCATAAATCATAAAGAGACCACCAGTAAATTAGAAAAGTTGATCCAAGAAAAATTACCTCATCCGGTGTTTTTCCCTCAATATCAAGCCTAATATTGTCGATATCATTTCTGCCATACTTTTCACATGCTTTCACAAATTGGTTAAAATCTCTTTTCGACCAGTTAGTAAAGCCCTATAAAAGTAATAATGGGAAAATGGTTTTATGATTAAATTTTAATATGTACAGTATTAAAGTAAGAGTCGTTATTATATTACCTTTTCAAGAAGACCTTCTTTCTCTTCGAGTTCTTCTGCTGTCAATGGCTCTGAGGCATCTACTCTTGCTTGCTCTTCACGCTGTTGGCGGACACCATCTGCGTGGGGTAAATCTGGGTTTGCGGGTACCTACATACAATAGGCAATTAATACGGTAATATTAAACAGTAAGTTAATACTTTACCGTATAAATAGTGTAGTTGTATGGATAATATTTACCTTATAGTTGATACTTTTTCGGAAAGCGTAAATCTCCTTATCTAACAATTCGAATAAACGAGGCGGAAAGAACTGAAAGTCCTGTACGTTAGGTTGCTTAGGAGGACGAGGAGCCTAAATATTGCATATTTATAAAATACCGACATATGTTATGACTAATAAGACAAAAAAATATTACATTTGTACTGTATCATTTTAACATTAACTAATATACTGTCAGATAGCTGATTATGTACAACCTTGGGAGTTTTAGGCTCCGAAACACGCAAAGCTTCTCTAAAGTAAGCATCGACGGCATAATTAGCTTTACGTTCACGCTTTGGCGGCTCTATCCAATAGCTTCGAAGGTTGGACTAAGGATTTGAAAAATTCTCAATTTAATCTTCACGGCATAGATACAACTACAGTCACAGACTTTGTATAATCAGAATCTCACTTAAAACTATCTTCGATAGTATGCTTTATTAGACAAATGAAACACACGTTATAGAATCAATTTATTCCAATTACAATTTTATCAATAATATATAGTTAACCCATTAACCTTTTGCTTTTCTCTGTAATCTTGACCTTCGAAATCAAAAATACTTCCTGGGGTATCCAGAGAAAAATCTCGGAGTGCAGATTCACCAAGATTTTCTAACTTTTGATTAATCGCTGCGGTCTAATAACATCGGAACGATAGTAACACTTTTAGCTAAACTAGTTTCCTAGATAATAACAAGTAAGTTTATTTTGAATATAAGATTTGTATTTAGTACCTTTCTTTCAGCTTTATCTAGAATTTCATCAATGCTATCGTCAGTTATCTCAGAATCTTTGGAAGCGAATACGTGACCAGCACCATGACGAATCATATTCAACATTTCATCTTTACTAACTGTACGGCTTTGATCTACAAGTCGACCTTGCTGGATGACAATTCTATCCAATCTTAATTTTGTTTCAGCTCTTTCGACTATTCTCTCTTCAATAGTATTATCAGTAATGAAACGAAAAACTTTAACCTCTTTGGTTTGCCCAATACGATGTGCTCGATCCTGTCAATAAAAATGGCTGATTAGGAAACTTGATTATTTTAAGTAGTCAAAGTAAAATTGAAAAAAATCGAAGAATTATTATACTTGGGCCTGCAAGTCAACTTGAGGATTCCAATCGCTATCGTATAATATGACGACATCTGCGGTTGCTAAATTGATGCCCAATCCACCAGCTCGAGTACTGAGCATAAAGAGAAACTTATCACTATCAGGCATATTGAAAGCTTGTATAGAAGCCTAAAAAAAAGTTGACCGATGGTTATGAATAGTAGTAATCTATTATATATTTATTATCATATAGGTTTCAATATACACATACTTGACGGTCTTCATGTGGTGTTGAACCATCTAAACGGCAATATTTATAACCTTTCCACATGCAATAGTCCTCCAAAATATCCAGCATACGAGTCATTTGGCTAAATACTAACACCCTAGATCCTGTTGAAAGAAAATAATGGTTACATAACTATTTGTAGCTAATTACTATACAGCCAAACATAAAAATTGCCAACTAGCTGATACGGCGCATATGCGTATCACGTATCCAACCTTGTGCTTGCAATCGTGGTAAAAGCTTTTCTAATACAACCATTTTGCCACAATTGGTAGCAAGATGGGTATCAGTTGTGTAGGGTGGACCTAAAATTTATAAGATTAATTAAGAGTGTGAAATTTTTGCTATTGAAACTACTGTAAGTTAGGCATTTCTAATGTTGGATTAAAATACTATTCATTGAGAAGTACATTAAAATTCTTACCAGGTTCAGCACCATCAAAAAGATATGGATGATTGCAGCATTTACGAAGTTGCATAAGAATATTTAATAGTCTCATCTTATCCGTTTTACCAGCACCGTTAACGATATCAATATCTTTCATCAAAATTTTTGTATACCTATAAAACGGAAAGGGTCATCAAATTAGTATTTCGACACCGAATGTTGAACATAAAATATTTATCACGAACCATTCGCGCTGCATACGACTGAGTCCGACATAAACTTTGACTTCCTTTTTTGGTTTTAATCCTTTCTCTACTTCTGATTTCAACCTTCTTAAGAGAAAAGGTCTTAAAACCTAAGAATACAGACAGAGTAATTTTATATGTTAAAATTCGTCCTCCCATGAGAAATAAGTTCAGCATTATCAAGCTCAATACCGCATGCAATCTTTCAACTAAACTGTTGTCTCCAAGGCAACTATTCGTATCGAACCATGCATCGAAATCCTAGTCAAAGTTCAATTAATTATAAGCACGTTAGAGTTACTTGCAATCGTCAATTGCAAAGAACAACAACTACTTAGGCAATATTAACACATTTTATTAACTGTGAAGAGTTACAACCTCAGAACAATTGAAAACATCCGGTAAAAGAAAATTAAGCAATGCCCATAATTCATGCAAGTTATTTTGCAGCGGAGTACCAGTCAGTAAGAGCCTATTTACGGACTTTAACTCCCTTACAATTTCCGACAACTACCAATAACATAGAATTAAAATATTTTGTTATAATTTGTTCATTTCCAAGCCAGAACAATTTAATTATTTAATTCATTGAAAAGTAGGGAAATTTTCACTAGAGTACCACGTACCTTCGACTTTTCATTCTTTATTCTGTGCGCCTCATCAATGATCAAATAGCGCCATATAAACTTTTTAAAGACAGCTTTTTCTCGTAACATCATTTCGTAAGTTGTGACACAAACACTCCATTTGCCAGGCAACATTGTTTCCCTAATAAATGTAGCCTGAAAAAGGATTATAATTATCCGATGATGAACTACTTCTATTTCGACGTAATTGAAAAGGTAATTACTTACTCTTTCTTCCTGATTGCCAATCAAGCAGACTACTTCCAGAGACGGACACCATCTCCGAAATTCAGATGACCAATTATGAAGGGTTGATTTAGGCACTATGACCAAGTGAGGGCCGTCTACATTTCGAAAGTGCTTCATGTAGCCTAATAGAGATATAGTTTGCAAAGTCTTACCGAGACCCATTTCATCGGCTAATATTCCATTGATGCTATTCTCGTGTAGTGAAATTAGCCAATTCAAACCACGGATTTGGTAATCTCTCATTGCACCATTTTTGATATCTATTCAAAGGTAGTTATTGTCATAAGAATAGTAAACACTGTACATTCTCCTTGTTTATCATGTAATGTAAAGCACTTCAGGTAACTTTCATTATTTTTTTTCTTACAGAGACTGCATCATTTTGCGCATGTTATTGGTATTTTATAACAATACTTACATGGAGGTGAACTCTCAAATCTATGAAAGATGTCCTTATCTATTTGACTTTCTTCTATAAGTTCTTCATCTTCTTCTTTTTCAGTCCTTCGATGACGGTGACTACATGATAAATTGGATAAAAAGAGATGATAAGAATGAAATGGTTGAGTCGTACTCGTATCTCCATGTCTACAATTTCAATATAGTAATTTTAAGGTAGGTGGCGGGTACCATACTGGTATGGGGCATGGATTATTATTTTAGAATAGAAGTTCCTGTACTAGTCCATATTTAACTAACTTATTTATCTACAACTGTACAGAAGACACTTGGAATTGGTCTATCTACCAGTCCTTCTCTCAGTTGTCCCTGACTGTTAGTACAGTACATTGTACAGTAGCAATGCTACAGTACCTTCAGTCTACTGTACTGTACAGTACAGTACTGTTTGACTGAGCTCTTCACTACTACAGTACAGTACAATGTAAGTTTGTACCATTGTACTGTACCGCCACAGCACAGTCCATACTGCCACTAGCGTGATTTTCAATCCTTTCAGTTTCGGAAGCCCGTAATACAGTAATAAAGGTTAACACACTTACTGCTTCTCGTCCTTGGTACTAGTACCAATGATCAGTTTAGCTTCTAGCAAAAATGGCACATTGTGGAAAATTGAACTTTCACAGACTAAATCTGCTGTTTTTTTTGAAGTCGTTTTGATAAGTACTATCAGCAGCCAATGCATAGGAATAAACAGATCTATTGTTGGTATTACTATAGCGTAAACTAAGTGTTGCTGATAGTTTGATTAGACTGAATTCAATGTATACAGTCGATATTAACATGGACATTGTACACTACGGCGAGACGATGAATGAATTAACATGTCAAAAAGAAGTAAATCGAGTTAAGATTATCCCTTGCGCTCGTTTTATGATCTCAAAGAATTGTGCAGTCCCAATTACTTTTAATAAACTATGACAATACAATGTTACGCACTTGAAAGAAATGAGATTCCAAATTTTGCTACCATCGAACAAAAATACTAGGATGAATGAAGATACGTCATGTCAGGATATCGCTATTCCCACTGTACTCGTGGTACTGTACAGTACGTACAAGGTATCATACAAGTATATGGTTCAAATCAGGCGCTCCATCTCAAATTTATTATATGAAGATTGGATAGACTAAGCGAATTGCTACTCAGAGACCGGAAAATGATGATCATTCTTTCTCTTAAATCACTCCAGTAAGCAAGCAAACTGCTTTCATTGAACAGTAAATTAACGTACCACAAGTGGTGTTAATGTATTAAAAGTGAAGTGTACAGTTGACAGCGAGGAATACTTATTACGCTCTTTTTATTCATTCACTTGATACTGTCGGTCTACGCGTATGGTGCTATCACTACTAGATAGAGTTTGATGTCCAACATTTCGTACTGTATTGCCAAAGACGCAAATTGAATGTATCGATCGGACTTCAAGTAGCAATATGAGCTACAATCCAAAACTCGGATGGCTATTTTTAGTATAAACAAATGTTAGCGGGTGATATTCTCTACTCAACTCCATCTGTCATTGATACAGAAAGCTGGTGGCCAGATCATACTACTCACTACAGCATACAATGATTACCAAATTGAATGAAAACGGCTGCAAAGTGACGATACGTCATGAAGTGAAGAATGAAGCAAATCAAGGTAGTCAAAAAAAGGATTCAGTATTTAATCCTTTAACCTTAGCATGAGCTGATGATATCAAGTACAACTTCAATATTGTTCTACTGTACTTACTCTCCTGATTCTTCGCCAGATTCATTGTCTATAGCTTTTTTAAAGATTACAGGCTTGACCTTTAAAGGACTCGAAGGTGCTTTTTTTACGCCGCCGTCGATGAAGTGAGAAAAAATTTCAGTCTGATCTAACAAGTAGCCAAATCGTTTGGACCGATCGTTAGCCTAGAGTTGAAAATCACAATCACAATAGGTTAATCGATGCTGTAGTTATGCATGTTCTTAGTACGTAGTTTTTACTTTTGTGATACGGGATATTTTTAGTCAAGTTATGCATTGCGATGATCACAGCCACTGTTGCTGTAAAATCATCCTTTAAAATCTTAGCCAATACTGTAGGCAAAAACTTACCAACTTTTGGTCCAGTTCTTTGAGTGCTGTCGGCGTAGAACGTTCCTTTATTTTAATATCGTGCACCATTTTCTATTGTTTGAATTAATTAAAATCAAGAGCTACATGAGATGTTGATCAAATTGCAATCTCTACCAGCGAAAGGCTGAAGCGTCACAACATCCACTCATTCTCCCAGCATTATAATATTGACTATCATACAGAATGGACAGTAATATTTTAACGACTTATCGTAGCGCTAGTAAAATTGTAGAACCTCCATCTACTTGAATACATACATTTTCAATCGATGATTGATTGCCAGGTGGCGGATTTCGCGGCATCAATACAATACGACTGCACTGACGAACGGTGAACTGGCGGCTAAAATAGTGAAAATAATGCTTACTAATAATACAGTACGGTAATATACTGTATTGCAATGATTGGGAGCGAACTGTGTACAGTACTATAGGCAAATTTACTTTTGGGACTGTATAGTACAGTACAATGTACAGTACAGTAGTTCAGTGCTGTACTGTACACTGTACACTGTCTACACGTGACTGGACTTTTTATTGTGTCTCGCCGAAAACAACTTAGGTACAGTGTACAGTGCATTGTACTGAGCTAAACTCAGTGAATAGTACTGTGATGGCTTCATGAAAATTTTGGGATTGATTTTACCTACAGTACTGAACTATACATGTGTACACTGTACAGTACATTATACTGAGCCATACTCAGTGAATAGTACTGTGATGGCTTCATGAAAATTTTGGGATTGATTTTACCTGTACAGTACTGTACTCTACCGTGTACAGTACATTATACTGAACCATACTGTACTGTACTGTACTGTGATGGCTTAATGAAAATCCTTTCGATTGATTTTACCGACAGTGCGCAGTACATTGTACTGAGCCATTCTCAGTCAATAGTACTGTACACTGTACACTGTAAAGTACTGTGATGGCTTCATGAAAATCCTTTTGATTGATTTTACCTACAGTACAGTGTACAGTACATTGTACTGAGCCATACTCAGTCAATTGTACTGTACTACAGTATGATGGTTTAGTGAAAATCCTTTTGATTGATTTTACCTACAGTACTGTACTGTACACTGCACAGTACTGTACTCTACAGTGCACAGTATATTGTACTGAGCCGTACTCAGTGAATAGTACTGTACTGTGATGGCTTCATGAAAATCCTTTTGATTGATTTTACCTACAGTGTATAGTGTACAGTACATTGTACTGAGCCATACTGTACTCAGTCAATAGTACTGTGATGGCGCAATGAAAATCCTTTCGATTGATTAATTTTACCTACTGTACAGTACTGTACTATTCTACATACTGCTTGTATACTGTATGAGTGTACTGTACGTACGTACAATGCAGTACTGTACTGTACAGTACAGTGTACAGTACATCGATTTTACCGCAAAAAAAAAATGATACTGTACTAGTGTAGTGTGTCACATATTGTGTATACGCGCAATTTCTCTCTCTTTGACTTTTGAAAGGCTGTAAAAGGCCCTGTTCTCTTAATCCAAGTGAGTTATCGATGTCGTGCTACTCTCTGATTCTCTGTGTTTCTTCTGATATGATTTCCAATCATTCTACTTTCTCTCTATAAATAAACTGGCTTTCTCTGTATTATTTGTATGAGTATTGACTCACGTATTCCATACAAAACATGACATACTCTACTGTACAAGTGTACAGTACAGTACAGTACAGTAGAGTTCAGCCCGCTCCACATGGCAGTACTGTAATCCCCTTGCTAATGTAAAACTAGTGATACTGGAAGTATTATCCAGTAATATCTACTAACTTTTACTGCAAGGAGGGAGAAGTTTCTCATAACGAGACTACTTATGCAGATCACTAGGAAAATTCTGACGTTACAGCAACCGCTGCATTGAAAAATAATACGTCACTATAGAAATGAAAAATTGCAACTGAGCAGATGACTAGACATCTTTTGTTCTGAAATCAATACTGTACGCTGTATATAAAGTAGAGTACAGAACTGCAAAAAGGAGAAAAACAATTGTTAATAAATAAAAGGACTTGTAAAAAAAGTCCCTGATGGTACAGTACTGTACAGCTTAGTATCGCAATCTTTCCAGTACTCTTTCCAAGGTCGTACAGTACTGTAATAACAGGGACAACTAGAAGAAAACCTTTCTACAACTGTCCATGACTGTACTCAACCAAGTCCCTATTCGCAGTCACAGATGTAAAAGTAAAAGCAAACCTACAAATCTATAATGTACATTGTACAATAGACTACGTACAGTATAGCAGCTAGAATTATATAGCACAGATAGAAGCCAGAAAATTGTACAGTCATCGATTAAAAAACGACTTCTAAATTTTGATACTACAGCCTGGACAGTACGCGTCCGCATGTTACGTATGAGCACCGTACTAGAATACAGTATATTGTACAGTATAGCGTATTATGCTGTCGTTTGCAACTTTGTATTATCAATTTATCACTCGCTCATGATTCCATATGGAACGCAACCCATACGGCTTCACTATACCCTACTGTACATGCACAATATTGAAGAGTAAAATAATGGGTTATCAATACACTTTACACTACAAAAAAACTGAAGCTAAAATCACGTCATTAAAAGTGTCCTATCCAGCCGAGCCGGTGAGCATTGCCATTGCTAATACACACATAATTGGTTAATTATACTCGTATTATTGGTACCAATTCGATTTTATTACATTTGCTGGTACTTTACTTAAATATAATAGTTTCAGATAAACAAATTTATACATCACTATTACTTTGATAAAAACTAACATGTACAATAAATAATAATATAATTATCATATTACGGTTGTATCGAATAATGATAGTAGTAGTGCAGTAAAGATAAACAGTAAAACAGATGATATCACAAATAGACAAGGTAGAACATGATGCCCTATGTCAAAAAAATTTCTTCACTTTTTTATCATATAGTATAAAATTTCAGACGTATTGCTGTAAAGCTGAGCGACAGTAACCCTTTGAGAATTCGAATCCTATATCGATTGTATTATCGGTGCAATTTGATGACTGAAATAGATACGTTAAAAACCCTTCATGTAATTGGTGTCTTTACAAAATTACAAATAAAGTTCGGAAATCCAATCTCAAAGCCCTTCTTGCAGTACTTAACAGGACTTTCGATTAGAATAGGACGTATTTCTTGGCAATATATCGAGTAAATATCTAGCATAAATGTCATTTTATACATCTGCAACTCATTACCACTTACAATGATCACGATTAGACACCAATATTTCTCTACCAACTTACGATAGGGTAACAATAACAATACTGACTGACTCATCAAATTATTAATATAGGATAACATTAATTTCCAGATAAAAGAACTAGATTAAATCGGAAATCTACATTACATACTGACTTAGATGATCTTGAGATAATAACGGATCGTCATCCTGTCCTAGGTGATCACTAGCTATGTTGGTGGATGGTAAAGAGCTAACATTATTCATAGAAAAATTTGTATCTTGCATAATCGGTGACTGATTTGGCTTATGTGTCACCGAGGCCGGAGACTTGTTCGGTATAGGTGAAGCACCGATTTGATAAGACTGAGCTGGCCTTGGCGATAGAGATATATGAGGAGGTGAGGCCATCATAACATTAGAATGATATGACTGGTTTCTAGGAGATAGCGCTGATTGTGCACCATGAGCTTGTTGATTGGCCATTGTAGGTGACATCACTTGTTGTTGCTGAGTTGGCGTTATACCTGCGCCACTTCGAATTTGATGATTTTGAGGCGATACAACAGAAGCATTAGGCATTGATTGAGTCGGAGACATCACCTTTCCTTGGTGATTTTGCAGTCCCCTTGGGGATAATACATTGCCTTGAGGTGATACCATAGACGACGCAGGCAATGATTGAGCAGGAGACAAAACTCTCTGAGGCAGAGGATGCATATTTCTCGGAGACATAACTGGCGATTGTTGTTGAGATACACCGGCTTGCGATGTATGAGGAGAAATAACTCTATCTTGAAAATTTCTAGGTGGTATAATGATACTTCTTTGATTCACGTTCGGTGGTGCCTGAGGCACTGAAGGTGTTGATAACACTCCTTGTTGAGATGCTGATAAATTTCTTGAGGACACCGCTGGATTTTGCCCTATAAGTCCTTGTGAAGACGAAATAACCTGTTGCTGTGAAGATACCACATTACGTGACTGAAAACTGTTACGCTGCTGGGCAATTCCAGCCGGCGGTCCATGGGTTGACTGAGTTGGTGACATGACTCTTTGCTGTGGAGTCATAGTATTTAGTGATGTCTTATTAACGTTTTGATGCAATGGGCCTTTTACAACGCGTTGCTGAGACATTCGTGGGTTTTGACCCATAACTGGCTGCGTCATAAATCTTTGTGATTGTTGCACACCAGATGGTTGCTGTTGCATAACCGAACCTGATTTTATTTGATTATTACCGTTAATAGGATTCGATGAAATCATTTGCGTCGGATGTGACGCTTGCAATTGCTGCTGCGGCATCTGCACCTGTCGAATTTGGTTATGTTGAAGACCTTGAGGCCGTGATTGTTGTTGCAGCGGTTGTTGAAATTGTTGTGCTGCCATTTGACGTTGTGGTGGTTGCATTTGATGCGACTGTTGCTGCTGCTGTTGTTGTTGTTGAAAATGTTGCCTATTTGGCTGATTATTCAAGCGTTGCATTGTTGGGTTAGCTTGGCCAGGATATATTTGCTGCTTATTCATTTGTTGTTGCAGTTGCACTTGCTTATTGGGAAGGAATTGATTTGATGGATCTTGAGCAGATTTCACATAGTTTCCAGTCATACTATTTGTTGGGTTCTGATTAACATTATTAGGTACAGAATGTTGATAGTTATTTTGTAACATCTGTAGCATTTTCTGTTTTTGTTCTGTCATAACTTTAGGCGCTTTTGAAGGATCCATATGTTGTACGGCAAGGTCATTGTTTCGATTTAAATTTCTATTAATGTCCGGTCGTACAGGATTTCGATAAGGTTGATAATTATTTTCTGAAGATGTAAACGTTTGTCGCCCAACAGCAGGATTATTACCCAGAGATGATGGTGACTGTGAGATCAACGATGGTGATGCGTTTCGTAATTGCCCTCTACCCATACCAATTTGCATTGTATGAGGATTACGTCCTTGTTTTAATGCGTCCTTAGAGCCGATGTTGTTAGGTGGTCCACGAGAAGGACCACCCTGCATCGAATTATATGCAACTTGACTTCTAACAGTTTGTTGAATAGGCTCTTGGGAGACAAATTGGTTATTGTATGCAGGAGTACTAGTTTGCATTACAGCCATTCGCCTTCTTGTCCATTGATCACGTTGCATCTGCTGCATACGTAATTTTTGTTTAATACTTGAACAGAATGGAACTGGACAATGGTTATCGTTACAAGTTTTTGCATGATAGCAACAAAGTGCTATGAGCTGCTTGCAAACATGACAACCAGAGTTTTTCGTTTTACAGTTCTTACTATGCTGAACTATCCACTTCATTTTATTACAACTTTTTACATCGCATCCAGGGCAAGTACAAGCATGCTGCAATGACCAGACACATCGTTGTATTGATAGGCGTCGTGATTCTTGTGGATTTCGAGATTTATCATCACCATTACATTCATTCCCTAAATCTAAGCCCAATTTCTCCATTTTGTGTTCATGTCCAAATTTATCATAACAGGATAAACATAAATCAAAGTCCTAAAAAATTCAGGATAGAAATTATTACAGACATATTATCATAATACTGATGCAACGATATACTTACATCACATATCGAACAATGGTATCTTGTTTCAACGTGATTACTACAATTGTTACACGTGTATACGAATCTGTCTTGCCCTTGATTATGCAATTCTACTAGCATTGCTATTGTCGAGTACTTTGCTCGCCTTAATGAGGAAAATTCAAAGTGCTTTTCACGAGCTAACGTTAAAAATGCATCACGACCATCCATTAAATCACAAGACATGACTAAGTCTGGATCTTTTATATCTGGTACTTCTTTCGCCTCTTCCACAGAGTATAATCGGATGACAAAGAATACCTAAAGATGTTAAACATAATGAAATAGGGTTATGTTTCTTCAGTTATGAAAACAGTGAGAATAGCACTGATAATAAAGAACCTCTTTATGTTTTTCCATAGTTGCAAATAGCCGCTGCGTAAGATCCGTTCCAGCATATGGATTCTTTTTATTTTTTCGTGTATTATTTGTCTTACTTTTGCTATTTTTCTTCATTTTCCCCTTCTTTGCCGTTTTTTTCGTACCATTAGAACCCTAAAACAATGAATCACGAAAGCATGATCAATACTTGATCTAATCTATCTAATATCGAGCTTTCTGAATAATCCAAGCCACAGCTAACGCTGTTGTCTACCTGTCCAGCAGCTTCAGCCGCCGCACTCGCCTTTCTCTCCTGCTCTTCTTGATCTATTTCCTTAATATTCTCTTCTAGAACATTTGGCCAGAAATCGCCCTCGAAATATGCCAACTGATTAGCACTGGTAATGTTTTCTTCCTGTGACATTCTATGGATATCCTATAAGTCAATAATCGATAGAAATTGATATTTATAATTATACGCTAAAAAGATTGTCTCGCAACTTAAACTAACCTTGTAATCAACAACTACACTCTCTTTCTTGGCCTTATCAAGCATCCTTTTGTACCACTCTTGCAGGCGCTTAGGTTTGGGTATCTTTTGCTCAGGTGGATGACAGTGAAAGATATAGTCATCACCTTCGCTTGGAGGACAAGCCCAAATATGTGCCATTGTATAACTAAATATGATAATAGAATAAGGAACCCTAAGAGCCTGCAAAATTTAATAACAATATCGAAGTTTAAACGCACCCAATTTTCTTAACAAATTCGAGATAACCAATGAGAATCTCATGATATACATCAGTTCGAAGATTGCTAGGCTTGAAAAAATGTACGCTGTCCAGATATGATACATATACTCGTCTGCAATGGACATAGAATATGGAAACGTTATCAGTTTCTTTAGTAATTATGATACAATGAAAAAGCCATATAAAACCGATGTTAATACAGTTGTACTACGAATGTTCATAATACATGAAAGATATCGCATCATCATTTAAAACATCTTACCTTTTGTTAGGGGGTGAGCAATCTGTTCCATATTCCTGAACATGCATACCAAAGAAGCATACATCTGTTCCGTCAATTTCTTCAAAAACGAATAGGGCTTTAGCACGATATGGGAATGACTCTGGAAATTGATCTTGAAATCTGTAAGAAATTAATACAATCTCTTAAATTCAAATGTATGAGGCAAAGACAACTCCAAAAGACATACTTACTTTGTCCTCATTCCCTGCTTCACCTCTACAGTTTTTTCAACATTCGATACCATCCGCACGGTAACATTACCGGCACCCTTGCCTTTTAAGAAATTATTGACTCTCTTTTCTATGTGATCACTTAAATTCGAATCTGGAAGTTCTACAAGAGATATTATATCTTCAGACCAATGTTACTTAAATAGTCTACGTACAGTTTAGTACTTACTGTTAGCTGAATATTTACTATCTCTTTTCCTTGATCCAGAAGTTTTCAAACAATGACTACATATGTACCTATCGTTAAATATTAAAACACAACTGCTCAAAAGGAGATCAATCTTTCCGACGAATTTTATCTTTTAACTTACCCATTAGATGATAGTTGATCATAGTGAAGGACACAAATGGAATGAAACTTTCGTCCACAGTCTATGCAAGCTGTCCAGCTGAAATCGTATCAAGGTGCACCTTAAAACACTTTCTGTTATGATTAGCTAAAAGTCAAGGAACTTACGGTTCAGGTTCTAAGTGATCATTTGTTTTCTTTTTAAAGTATTTCTTCGGTATAGCACTATCAAGATATCCCATACTGTTAATTAGTACATGTATACACAGTGACAAATAATAGGGTAAATATGTATATTCTGTATTACAAACTTTTTATTTACCTCTGAGGGATGATCGGGTCATCTCCTATTCTAACATTCTCACCTTCGATTTCACTATAACACTTTTCACAGAAATGGTATCTACATTTACGATTAGAAATCACGTTATAACATACACGTAGATAGTGTGATAATTGTAATAGTCTAATTTTAACATTACGATACCTGTCTTGATAAGTCCAATAAACTTTGTCTCTTGGGATAGTACACAGTTGTTTTCCATAACAACACAATACTTGAGGGTTGAAAACATACTGTAAAATAGTTATGGCATCTTAATATGTTATCTCATAACGACGTAAATTCAACATGCTTTCGAATTATGCTGTATATCATTATTAATGATGTAAAGGAAAGTACCTTTTTCCCGCAACAGTAATGAAAACCTCTCATGACAGGGGTAATTTCTTTTTCAAATAGCTCAGCAAGCTTTAACGTAAAATAGAGATATATTGAATCAGATAATTGTATTGCTTGCTACCAATATGACAAGTAATAAATGTTACCTTAGTGCACTGCTTGTGGACTCTCGTATTTTTCTTGTTGTATAACCAGGCATTTTCAAACATCAACCACATATCATCACAAAACTAATCCAAACAAAGTTATTATCAAAAACTTTTTTTAATACTTAATAGAGACAGTAGAGATAAACTGAGCACTTACTCCCCATGGGCTTTTGTACATTCCTTGATGCAGACGGCGACTAATTGTAGATAAATCCATAGGATGCTTTATGATATCAAAATAATCCTTTCAAAAGATAAATGCGATCGTTATAAAGAATCAAGCATATAGCTTGATAAATATTACTTCAACATATTTTCATTCTAGTGCATACTGGAATATTCAATACTTTCGGATCAACCGGCTCTCTGAAAGGCTCAGCATCAGCGGAGCTAGATAACTTCTGTAATACTGCCATCAAGGGTTGATGCAACTCCTCTTTGCTGAACACTGCAATGGTAATGATGAGTTAATAATGTACTACCACATATTTATTCCTTTATAGTTACAAATCCAAGTAGTTAATAAAGCAGTACTTTTCTTTTCGGAAACAGATTTCCGTGAATTCGACATTTCATCGCAAGGGGAAGATACCCTAGAAGAATTGTTGGACGCCGAAGGATCACCACCACGAGCCTATTTATACGAGCGCAAATACCGATGCGAATCATGTGTGATTAAATAGCCTGTTTCACCTTGTTAATACACCATACACAACTTTGCAAAGATAATTAGTTTATTGAGAATGTCTACCTTCGTGTTCGGTAAGGCTGGATTTAAATTTTGAATCAATTGTTTCGATATCGGTTTATCGTTGTTTGCTAAAGGCACTTGAGAATTTTCCCGATTGGGCAAAAAATTTACTCCTTCTTTCGCTTCAAAAATAATATCAACGACTACTTTAATGCTATAAACTTCATATCAATACACTAGTAAAAATAGTTACCTAAACGAGTTTTACGTTTTTCTTCCAATTCCTTCTTTATCTTGTAGATTTTCACGGCTAACATTTGATAATACTCTTCCTATATTTTTAAAGTTTGTTCAATTACTTAATGAGCAGCGTATAATTGAATACTTTTAATCTCACGCTACTTGGAAATAAACTACGGCTACCAGCCAAAACAACAATCCATTACCTTGCTATTAGCCTTTTGATACATATCACGCTCTACGTCATGTGCATACGTAATCAGCCGCACTTTGCGCTCGTCTTTAATCATAATTGCTGGAGGTGGAAGGATAGCTCCAATCCTAGTTAGAGTGACCAGAGTTTGTTATCTTACAGTCCAAAATAATACTAATCAATGTGACATTAACCTCAAACAAACAGGGACTACTTACAGTTTTTGCGCCATATGTTTTCTTAAACTGTTATGTATTTCGTCCCTCCATGATCTCGCATGATTATTAATGCTTAAAAATACGGAGTCAAATTTATTAATTGTAGCACAGGAAGATGAATATTATTTTAGGAATTAAAATAATAACTTGTACGCAAACTACTTCGTAATAATTGATTACCCAGACTTGGCGTCTACTGTCGCTGATATGAAACCTGCGGTACGATTTCCATTAGCTATATAAAATGATTTGCATGCGTAGCTTAATAACAAATAATAATTCAAGAAGCATCAGCAATTCAAAATAAAAAATACTTACCCAACATTGTTGATGTTATGCCGTTTCTAATAGCTAGAGAGAATATTAAAAATGTTCGTTAACATATTACTAATATTATACATTGAACCATATCTATCTTTAGGTAATACATACAGGCATTTGCAAATTGCATCATATCAGGGCGCAGCTGCGGCTTCCGGTTAGTAATCAAATCTATAGTATTGAAGATGCATAAAAATAATTAAAAAATTGATGAAGAAACCAGTAATACAATTGCATAGCAGAAGGCTATTCTCACGTTGATTTGGTCCCTTCAATATTCCGCATATTGGACAATCAGTACGAGAACAATTCTTCCAATGTGAAATTATCTGGCGTGAGGACGCACAATATAATACTACAAGATATTGAATAGATCAGAATACTTAAATCAAGCGCTTACTTAATTTTTAAATAATTCATAAAGTAGTAAAATAGACAAGCGAACAAGTATACGCAAATTCACATATCTATTATATAATCCTTGCATGGCTATTTTTACGGTGGAAAAAATTGACAGTAAAGATTTGTTAGTAGGGTTTTTATTTATACCTGGGCAGGATTTACCCTCCTGACAATTTGACATATGGGCCAAAACTCCTTTCATGGAGGTACAATGAGGTATTTCGCATTCTTTACTAGTTTCATTGCGGCTGTCTTTTCGTTGGCATTTATGAGCGTGGAGTAGAAGAATTAATTGCTGCTGGAGTAATTTACATTTATCCGGATCGTGAACGGTGATATTTGGCTGAAAAGGATTAACGGTATGATTTAAAATGTCATTGCACAAGGATTTAATATATTTGATTACACGATATAGGCTGAGAAATGAAATGCTTATTATAAACAAATACGAGTAATATTACTTTACAAATAGAAGGGTCAACAACATAAAATAGTACAGGATCGAAACTTTACGGTATCTGCAGTTAATAGAGTAGTTATACCAAATTTATCGCACATGCTATTAAATGAAAATGTGCCATTAATTACCAATGGAGTGTCTTTTAAATCTGTAGGGCATACTGAATTTCCAGGGTTAATCGCATGACCATTGCTTAACTTTTCTTGATTAGAAGAAATGGGAGATCTACCGGAAGACTAAATGTAGAAAGAATAAACAAGATGCGGCGGCATTAATCAAGACAGCACAAGTGCTATAGAATCATCGAGATTTATTGTATAAGCACTTCTGGATAAAAAGATCAATACATCTTCAGTTTCACATTTTAGGACAATTATACCGAAGAAAGATCGCGCGATACAGTAGCATTAAATATAACTCTTTCAATTTAATTAATTTATACAACTGATTAATTCATCATCTTATCTTAATACACAGTGTAAAGATGATATCATATACGAACCATGAAAAAGGATTTATCATAACTATCAGGCTCGCTTTTGACTATTGGCATAGCAGCAGACGGACCCAGCCTCTGCTCATTGCCAACATGTGGGCCATTGATATTGGCTGTGCCGTTGCTAAAATTATTAATGTCGTTTGCAAACGACATCATGGGCGTAGCCATACCAGCCACAGGTGGCGTCACTTGATTACTTGATGGTGTCGATGGTGCTGAAGTCGGTGCATCATTGTTATTGCCGCTAATATTATTTCGGTTATTGGTATTATCATCATTATTGTAAAGTTGGCCACTTCCGATGCTATCGCTAGAACCTGATGATGCTATGCCATTGGTCTCCGATATATTAGCTTTGCCTGTCGGCTGTAGAATATCATCCGGTAATTCATCCTCAAGATCATATAAACTAGATAGCTCTACTTCTATCAAAGTCAAGAAAATGATACAACATAAAAATGTTGCTATTGCAAAGTGTTATTTTGCAAGGTAGAAATGCTTGTCCAGAACCGTACAACATTGAAAAAGCAATCAATGAAAAATCTATCCATGTTTTAATTGACTGCGAAACAACATCGTTGCAAGTCAAGCCAATTTATTACATGTACTATTCGGTTAATAGAACCTCTTTAGCTATAGACTGGACTTACCATACATAAAGTAGCAAATTACTATCAGTATAGAAGAAATATTTTTAGTTTTATAATTGAACTGTTGATCATACAGACGATTGATCAACAAAAGATGATAGCCTGTTTGAAAATAGAGCGGAGCCATGTTGGAAATCTGAATTGAAACCGAATATTCAGGTATGCTCTTGTTTTACTCTGAGTCATGTACTTCAGTAAGAATACAACGGATTTTAGTGTCTGGTAATGTAAGACGTGAAAGTGTACCTATTCCTAAGAATGGCTGACAGGTTGGTAAGAAAAGCCTTGAGCTTTCTCGAATTTTGGCTCGTACCATCACGACCTTATAAAGGTAACAGCGATGGTAGAGTAGAGACTATGATAGAAGTCAAAATTGGAAAAGGTTTCTCTTGACATCAACTAGTTCTATATAGTGTAATACGGTCAAGATCGCAGTGACTCAAAAGATGATTTTGAATACAATACATGGAACTAGAGCTGATGATCGTAATGTAGGCACTATATTAATGCAAGGCTTATCAAGCGATCAGGTGTTGCTATCATTCAAAATTGAGAGGCAAATTTCATCATCCAGTTACTCACTCCTGACTGTGTACAAGCGTACAAGGCAAATGTGAAAATGCTTTGATAGAGTAGAGTACGATACGCATTCGTATGCACACTCTACTGACTACAGTGCAGTGTAGCACTATGTCACTCAGTACTAAAACGTAGTGTAGTGTGTGCATCGGTAAGGCGGAGTTTTATGCTCTTGTACTGCAGTACTGTATCTCGACTACAGTGTCAAGTCCAATAGTACTGTAGTAAGGCAAGTCTACAGTACTGTGGACAGTAAAGTAGGACGACCAGGATACTGTACAATGTTCTATACAGTGTCCAAGTCAGTCTATTGGCCTATGGTGTTTGATAGCCAATGATGATGATCCGAGAGCATCAGTATTGTCCATCATCTACAGTACAATTACTGTGCCTACAGTGGGATACTGTACACTGTACGGGAAAATGTCGGAAAAAATTGAACCTTCAAATCTCAATCGGCGGTATCGATTTTCTTCCTTAGTAAGCAGTTTATTTATTATTCAAACTTACGGGTACTTTCCACGGGAGATACAACAGATGAAGGCGGCGATAACCGGGGTTTCTTGATTGGTGGAGCGATGTCCTCAAACTGTGTGTCGGTTTTCTGACTCATTGTTAATGTAGAGAAAACACTGGAGTCGTAAGCGACAACACATACATCTGCAAATGAGGGGGAAAAAAAAAAAACCACTTACTAAAACAGCATGAAAAATGAACAAATCATCACATCCACACAATATCCAACAATAAACAACTATAGCAACATAACGAGTACAGTAGAAGGTAAAAGGTAGCTTCCAATAGCACCACAGCTAAATTGTAATTCCATTTTTACTTTTTATAACATTGTAAATGGATTGATTGCTTTTTTTACTATTATTGGACTTTTTTCTACATCTGTTTATCGCTGTCACGCATAGTGTGCATGTATCCATTTCCAGCTGTACAAGACACATGACTGTCATACACTGTACAATAAAGAGTTTCTATCTTCAGATAAACAGTCCAGGACGTCTAGTCTAATCACTGTACAATCCTACCATGATGCTACACTATACAGTCAATTTACTTTCTGATCCAGTCCAGCAGTGGTTACCGTACTGTAGCCTATACTGTGTTGTGTCAAGTGAAAATTGTAGTAGACAAGCTATAACAATTAGTGTATGAACTCAACATAGTATACAAGCTGTAGAGGTCTTGTGATGAACATGTTGAGTCACTACCCTGCAGTCAGCCAAATGATGGTATTGGTTATCAAGTCAACGGTCATGTTAGTGCTCAATCTGTCTAGTGACAGCGATACAGTATAGAGTTTTGTATGCAAAGGAGGAGAGCATCGTCAAACAACAAACACGAAATGAGAGAAAAAAGAATTTAATCGAGTATTGACGATGACTGGATAGTCATGCAATGGCTAGTAAAATACAGCAGGCTTCCTATTGGTATCAACATGTCAACGAATCCTACAGGGAATCAAAATACACCAATTTCAATAGTAAAAAAAATTTCCACTTTTACCATGACGGTAGCGCACCAACAGCAAAGAAATAGGATAGTAAGCGATATCACGTCGCTCACAAGAATATTTTCTACAATTAAAAAACAATTATCCAGGTAGCCGCGATCCAATGACTTTTCTTTGCAGATATTTCGTCGATGTTTACAACTTGTACAAAGCAAGTGATAGCGATGTTTTATCAAATGAAAGAATTTTGTACACTTTCCTAGTCCTAATTCTTACTTTGCGAAAATCCTAAAATAATACAGTACTACAGTATAGGACTGTGTCCCTAAGTGACTCGACTTGGTGCTCTATTGACAAAGATAGTCGCTGACCGCAGTACAGTGAGTCTACAGTGTACAGTATGTCCACTACAGTATTTTCATTGTTGCTGCCAGGGTCGGGTACGGTACAGTACAGTACAATACAGTACACTGTACTGTAGATTGAATCCTAGTACTGTACGGTACAGTACAACTTCTTGGTTTTTGTGAACGGTCAGTCAGTGGTGCGTATCGAATTGTATCCCTTCCATTTTCTCTATAGTAAACGCTGTTAAAATTGAAATTTCTTGACCCATTTTGTTGATCAAGATTTGAACATTTGTGTGTCATGTCGATGGTTCAAGTCGATTTAGTTTTAGCACAGTAAAGAAGTTGAGGTCTTGATGGTTGTATTTAGCTAACTTGGTTTTAGTTTTATTGAACCTCAATGGTTATAAAGGAGGGTTCCTATTGCAAGAAATTTCCATTTTAACAGCTTTTACTATGGAGAAAATGGAAGGGATCTCATTTTCATGCCCATCAGTTTAGAGAGTATACAGTACAGTAGACATTAGGGCTTTTTCTTCTTTCTTTTATCCCACTGCGCTGCGGTGTACTGTACTGTACTGTAGACGGTAAAAGAAAATGCTAGTGTTGCAAATTACTCTACAGTACAGTACGTGTTGTACAATGTACTGTACAGAGCAGCCGACCCTCCGAATTATTATCACTACGGCACTGCCCCCGCACACTATACTGTACAGTACTGTACAGTACGGTACAATAGAAATCAATCAAAGATTTTTCTTCTTTTATGTACTGTACTGTACAGTGTACAGTACACTATTTCTATTTCTTCATGTCTTTGGCTAACAATCAACATGAACTACCAGAACTATTCTTGTCAGTTGTCACTGTAGCAGTCTTTTGTACTGTGCACTGTACACTGTACAGTATCGTACTGTAATTGTAAAAAGAAATTGGAGAGGTTTTCTCTCGCCTACTGGATATTCTTTTCTTTTACCTTTGTAGGTAAAATGAAAGACAAAAAATGGCAAAGCTCATTCAGTGACGGACTACTTAGAAAAAGAGCGACAATAAGTAGCCTTTCAGTACAAAATAATGTAGAAGCTCATCCATTTTCCGATCGTCTGCTCTACCATACTGCATCAAAGCGAATCTACAGGCTGTCTTGGGATGTCCATTGGGGACAGTATAGCGTACCGTTGTAGAGATGCGATGCAGCTGAAACAACTAGTAAAATAATCGTCCAGCCTAATTGGACATACGTGAACTATCATTTCCCGACCGTACCCTGTCTTTCTTGATTGTCCTTGGTTCTAGTTACAGTATCTTGCTACGGTATATTGTAC